TGGTGCTGATCGGGTCGGTGATGGTGACGTCACAGATGTACACCGCCCCCGAACTCTTTTCACGTAGTGTCAGGTCTGCCGTTTGCTCTTCAACCGGGCAGTATGCTGCAGATTCTCCGTGAACTATGAAGCCGGCGTCCTCTGCCATCGAGATGCAAGCGTCACAGAGTTCATTGTGAGTATTAATCCTGTGCTTGCCTGTCCCGCAGCGGAAGAGGTGATTCGGCAGCCGTGGGTCAGTGATTTCAACGTGCTTAGAGCAGTCACACTTCGCGGGTGTAGAGAAGGGGAGGCCTAGCCTGAAGCGGACTGCGTTTGCGAAGTGAGGAGGGCATACACGGCGGGTAGGTTCTATCGGGATAGCGGTTAGCCAGTCCCCCGTGCCGTAGCCTGTCAGGGAGAAAAACCGTTGGGTGTGGCCTGACAGTGGGTTGAGACTCATGTGTCGTGTAGCCCGCACTTGCGTGGCATATCTACTCCCCTGCACCCGCACCCCAAGCTCGTGTTGCAGTTTCAGCCCCTTTGGCTCTAGCCTCTCCATGTCAAGTATGTCTCTAGCTTCTTATGGCAGCGACGTCTCGCACTCCCCCAGCCACTGGTGTAAGGCGGTTGTGGGATCTCGAGGTAGGAGCATGTGGTCTCTGGCCGCCATCAGTGCTTCCTCTGTTTCTAGCGGTAGTGAGCTTAGTAAGAGGCTAGACTGTGTAAAGCTAGCCAGGTAGCCGAAACGGCCTTCCACCGTGGGGTCCGTTAGTCCAATACCGCCTAGTGACGGTGGGAGTGAGGACTGTTCCCAAACCCGACTCTGTTCTGTGCTGTCCGTCGGGAATCGAATGCCACATGCTGTGAGAAGCGTGGCTCGGAGGTCCATACCCCACTGGGACCAGGTGTCATGGTTCAGGAGATGTAGCGGGGTCGTTCGTATGAGGTATCCTACACGGCGGCAGATGCAACGTGTGAGGAGGAGGGAAGCTATCTGCGGGTCTAGGCGCTCGATCAGAGGTAGCGGCCTTGTCATGTCTTGTAGCTGGGCTGCTAGGAAGGCGGCAGCGCCTTCAGGTGTGCCTAGGAAACTGCCCAGAAGTTTAACGCCCGCGTCACTAGTAGGGACTCCCGGCGGCAGTCGTACTGAACTATCTAGCGGCTGTCTGCTCCATGCGGCACATTTCTCAGGGTTGTGTCGCAAACCCACTTGAGCTAGCTGACTGGTAAAATGGGAGAAATCTGCGACAGCCTCCTGTGGTTCGCCCAAGAAGCTCACGTCGTCGGCGTATGCCAGGCACAGCACGCCGGGGAGCAGTGCTGCTGTTGTTCTTAGTGCAGGGTGGATCCCAGCCGCAAAAAGTAGCGGCCCTAAGGGATCGCCCTGCCGGACCCCACGCTCGCTGAGTATAGGCGGGCTGTTGAAGTTCGCGTCCAGGTACAGTAAGGATGGGTCGCCGTAGGTCAGTTTTACTAGCGGCAGTAGTGGTGATAGGGCCGGGTCCTGTAATGCTGTCACTATGGCTTGTCGTGAAATGCTGTTGAAGGCGTTGGAGATGTCAGTTTGCAGAATGAGGCAGTTAGGGTGATTGTCAGTGTATGCACGTGCGCTGTGAATGATTGCCTCCGCTCCCCCTGGTACTGCGACACCGTACTGCAGCGGAAGAAAATAGCCGCGCGCCGCCTCGCCAAGGGTTGACAGTGCGGCCTTTGCCACCAGGCGGGTCAGACATTCGCCGACTGCAATTGGTCGAGCCCCTCCTTCAGTTTTGGCCAGGGCAATCAGGGGGGAGGATGTGAGTAAATCCGCGACTGGTTGCGGCAGTTTTCCTTTCAGAATCGTATTCACCAAGGCATGTAGATGGGTGGAGACAGATGCATTTGTTACTGACGCGTCGCGTAGGTGTTCAAAAGTCATTCCACTCGAGCCGGCCCCCACCCCATTCTCGCATCGGCTGAGCAACTTCAAAAATTCCGCGTATGCGGTCTCGAGGTCTGGTTGGTCGGCGTTGACTGGCCAGACCAAGGGGTCGGGGTCCGCCGGTGGGTGTTTGTCTCGGAGTTCATCCAGGATTTCTGGACAGGGCGTGCAGACTGGCGTTGACTCGAGCGCCATCACGACTCGGCGCAGGCTCCCTTTTTTCGCCAGGCTCTCCCTCTCTCTCTCTCTCTCTCTCTCTCTCTCTCTCTCTCTCTCTCTCTCTCTAATGGCCCTTTCATTGATAGTTAAGGTGAACAGACATGCAAGGTATAGGTATCACACAAGTGGGGCCATATTACACTTCCTACTCACTCCTCAGCTCAGCACCCTCTAAGCAATATCCAGTGCAGGATCAAGAACCGAGAGGCAGTCCCCAAGGGACGGGGCCTCACCCGCTGTCTCTAGTAGCGGGTTTTCTACCGATGCTGCTATGTTGCACTTTTCCAGGTACCCAATCGACTGCCCCCTTTGAAGAGCCACCAACCACCGCTGCCGGTATTGATGTAAGAGCTTGGCAGCTGGGTAGGAGGATGGCTCGGCGTTGAAAAATCGCCGTGCAGCCGTTTCTGCGAGCAGCTTCAGGAAGTCAACCGACTCGGGGCATGGGCACCCATATGTCTCGACCACGAGTGGGAAAAACTTTACCCACTCTGGGCGGTCCTTGTAAAGGCCGTGTTTCTTGTCTGCCGCTTCTCGTGCTGCCCACCCCCGCCCCTTGGTTGCGTTCTCATCGCGGGTGCTGATGGGATCTGTTACCGTCACGTCACATGTAGATGGTGCCGGTAGAGCGGTCACGTAAGGCTAGGTCCGCCTTCTTCTCCTCCACTGGGCTGAAGGTGGCTGTTTCAATATGCACCATGAAGCCAGCATCTTGCGCCATCCGTGCGCATTCGTCTCTAAGTTCGTTGTGTGTGTTGGTACGCCCCCCCCCTGTACCGCACCGTAGCAGATGATTCGGGAGTCGTTTATCAAGGATTTTCACTTTCTTCGAGCAATTGCAAACCCCGGTAGCTGCAAAGGGGAGCCCCAGCCGAAACTGGAGCGCGTTGGCATAGTGGGGAGCCTCAAGGCGTAGTGAGGAGAAGAGAGGCACAGCATTTAACCAATCTCCCGCCCCGTACCTTGACAGGGACAACATCCACTGGGTGTGACCATTGTTGGGGCTCGGGCCCAACCCTCGCACCTCCTCCACCTGCACAGCATAGCGCTGGCCCTGAATAGCCGTGGCCAGCCCATGCTGCAGCTTTCCTGCAATTGGAGCTGTTCTCTCTGCTTGCAGAACTTCCTGGGCTGGCAGTGGAAGTTCCTCCATGCATTCCACTAGCCATTTAGTCAAAGGGGAGGTCTGAGTGTAGGGGCCGCGCATCAGCTCGCGGGTAACCTCCAATGGGCCGGTGCACTCGCTGTCCAGAGATTCAAGCAGGAACTGCACCTGCGTGTAGCTGGCGAGGAAGCTGTAGCGTCCTTCCACAGAAGGGTCTGTCAGCCCGAGGCCACCGAGTGACACGGGGAGTGAGGCATGCGCCCACGTGCGTGATATTTCCACGTCTCCGCGCGGGTGGTTAATGCCACATGCTGCTAGGAGTGTTTCTAGCAGCCGCCGTCCCCAGTCGTGCGGGCTAGGTAAGACACTCGGCGAGAGATGCACCGAGACAGCAGCAGTCCCGCTAGCTGCGGCTCCATCCGCTCAATCAACCCCAGTGGCGCACCCATCGCCTCTAGGCTGGACCGAACGAAGGCGGAGGTTGCCGTGGGGGTGCCAATGTAGCTGCCCAGCACCTTCAAACCGTCGCTGCTGGGTGGAACTCCTTCAGGTAGGCGACAGTCCATGGGCGTCCTGCCTGACCATGCCCCGCACTTGGCAGGATTGTGGTTGAGCCCGATTTCAGCCAGGTGGCCCGTGAAGTGGTCAAAAGCAGCTGCGCACGACGACAGCTCTCCTAGGAAGGTGACGTCATCCTCGTAGGCCAGGCAGATGACCTCTGGGTGTGCCTCCGCAGCTGCCTTCAAGGCTGGGTGCATGGCAGCGGCAAAAAGAAGGGGGCCGAGGGGATCCCCTTGGCAGACCCCGGTTTCACTGTGCAAGGGCGGGTGGTCAAAGGCTGCATCCAGGTGCAGTGTGGAAGGTTGGCCATAGGAGAAGCGTACCAATGGCAGCAGTGGTTCTAGCTTTGAGCCTTTCAGGGCCGTCGCTATGGCGTGGCGGTCAACGCTATTGAACGCGTTAGCCAGGTCAGCCTGCAAGACCAGTGCGTTCTGGTTGGCCGCAGTGAAAGTTCGAACGACATGTATGACTGCTTCTGCTCCTCCTGGCACAGCCACTCCAAACTGTAAAGGTAAGAGAAACTCTCGTGCTGCTTCTGCTAGCTGGGTAAGCGCCACTTTGGCTGCTAATCGGAGGATGCACTCGCTTATGGCAATCGGCCCGGTCCCTCCGTCCGGCTTGTCGAGGGCTATCAGACGAGATGCTGTAAGAAGCTTCCCTACTTCCTGGTGCAACTTCCCACGCAGGATTGTGTTGACTAACGCGTGTAGGTGAGAACTAACCGTAGCATGCATCAGGGCAGCCTCGCGCAGGTGCTCGAACATCATGCCTGAGGGGCCTGCGCCTACCCCGTTCTCACATCTCGAGAGAAGCTTCAGGAAAACTTTACGCGATACTGACAGGTGAGAATCCGGTTTAGGCTGGGGCCACAGTGTGTCAGGGCACGAGGCGCTTGGGTGTTTGGCACGGAGGGATTCTAGAACGGCAGGGGATGGCTTGCTGACTGGAGTGGCCTCCAGTGCCATGACTGCTCTCCGCAGACTGCCACGGCGCGCCAGTCCTTCAGCTCTGGAGATTACCCCCAGGTCATCTGGCTGGTGTCTGGAGGGGGGAGGAATATCCAACGAATCCACCGTTCCCTGGTACAGCGATTCCCACTCCCCTCGCAGGAATTTACGCAAACGGCTCCTGGTCGCCTTCCAGTCAGGGTGTCTCGGCGAATGCTGACGCAGCGTCAGGCGAGCGGCAAACAGCAAAACCGTCCAGGCTTGAATGGAGTCGGGGTCGCGTGCGAGTCGTAGCAGTGGTGTCAGCATTACCATTGCGAAAAGAAGGCGCAGTTTTTCCGGAAGGCGACGTGCCAGTGGTGTGTTGCGACTGTCGCGTAGCATGTCCAGATTCCAGTCACTGACGCTTGCGAAAAGCGTGTCGTCCTTGGCGAGGGCTTCGGGTGATCTCTGGGGGGGGGGCTGTGGCTGCTGTTTGTTACCCCTTGCTGCAGTTCGTGGTGCAATTACAGGTGATGGTGTCTGGTGTGGTTGGGCGGGCTGGTTGGCAGTGGTGGCAGGGTGGTCGGAAGCGGTTCGAATCTGTGGAGAGGGTCGCGTCTGGGTGGGTGTATTTCTGAAATTTCTTGCCGCGCTCCGGGCGTGGGTTGAGCTGACTCTCTGCCGAGCAGGAGTTTGTGACTGGGCCTCCTCTGAGGCATTCGAACTTAAGGGCGAGTCTGCTTCTTCCTCCTCCGCCTCATAAATACTCCCCAATAATTCGTCTTCTTCATTCGCTCTTCCTAACTCGTTTAAAGCCCTTCGAGCTGCTGTCTGGAACGCATTCTCCAGCCCACCCTCACGCATACCCCTACCACGCCCACGCCCTCCGGCTTGGCCCTCGCGCATCCGCGCTCTCGCTGCGGCCAGCAGGGGACTTTCACGACTATCTCTTCCTGCGCTCTGACGCAACCGTGCGTCCTCCAGCGCTTGCTGCCGGCGCGTTCGCTGTAATAGCGACTGAAGTGGAGAAGTCGGCGGTAGACCAAGGTCACACCGCTGAGAGCGTGCATGCTCTGCCTCCGGCCCCTGGTGCGGCCGCTACTGTTGCTCCCCCGGCTCCTCCTGCCGCTGTTGCGGCGTCGTCAATTCCTGTCCCGCTGGCTCCTGCCCCCTCACCGAGCCTCCCCCTTCCTCACGGTGTCCCCGTGTCTGGCGCGTCGGCTCCCGTTGCGCTGCAGACGCTTGTGGCGCCGCCGCCTGTCCAAGCTGCCGTCGGGGCCCTTGCGCAGGGGAAGGCGGTGGGCGCTGGCCCCGACTCTGCACACTTGGTGGCCCCCGCGGCTGCGCCGGTACAGCCCGTCGCGCAGCGGTACACAGAGTCACAGAGTCACGGTGCCGCGGGGGGCAGTGCGGCCGCGCACCGGGGGCGAGGTTCTCCTCGGCGTCGCCCCTCCTCGTCCTACTAGTCGGCGCATCGCGGAGGTCGCGGTGGCTGGTGGGGAGGTCACGGTCGCGGGCGCGGTGGGCCAAGCGAAATGCAGTAGCTGCACGAGGATTTCCCGGGGATGTTGGCTGCGGCAATGCGCGCTGCTCTGACGGGTGCGCCGAATCTTGAAAGCTCGCTGGCTCCTGCCGCCACAGCGCACGCCCCTGCTCCTCTGCATGCGCGTGCTCTGGCGGCCCCACACGCCGCTCTTGCGCCAGACGCTCGAGCGTACTCGCGGGTTCATGCTCCTGTTGTTGATCGTGCTCTGCCTGCCTCCACGCGTCCTGTTTCAGCTGCACCGTATCCCCCTCTGCCATGGATTCCTCCAGTTCCAGGCACGGGATTTGTGGGAGCGGGAGGCGGAGAGGCAAGGGGGGACTTCGTCCCTCTGCGTTGGAATGTGTCGAATGTTAATCACATAGCCTGTTTAGGCTGTAGTGGGGTAGACACTATGGGGTACAGTCTCTTAGGGTTTCATATTTGTACCCAACTCATTTTCTAGTCAATCATTTTCATTCCTATTATCTTCACATGGTATAGAGCGGGTTCCCTAGTGGAACTGTTCCTTCCTATGGGCCCACCTTAATTTTTTTTTTTCCTGCCCGAAGCGCGCTTTGCGCCCTGCCCTAATCCTTCGCGGCCCCTTAGCGGCCTGCCCTGCCTGTCGCGGCCCCTTACTAGGCCCCTTACACGGCCCCCTTTCGCGGCCCCCCTTACGCGGCCCCCTCTACGCGGCCCCCTACGCGGCCCCCTTACGCGCCCCCCCTACGCGGCCCCTACGCGGCCCCCTACGCGGCCCCCTTACGCGGCCCCCCCTACGCGGCCCTGTCGCGGCCCCCTAGCGTGGCCCCGACCCTGTCCCGGCCCCGTCACGGCCCCGTCGCGGCCCTGTCGCGACCCCGTCGCGGCCTCATCGCGGCCCCGTCGCGGCTCCGTCACTGTCCTGCCCCGGCCCCGACCCTGTCCCGGCCCCGTCGCGGCCCCGTCCCGGACCTGCCCCGGCCCCGACCCTGTCCCGGCTTTGCCCCGGCCCCGTTGCGGCCTCGTCCCGGACCTGCCCCGGCCCCGACCCTGTCCCGGCCCTGCCCCGACCTCGTCGAGGCCCCGTCCCGGACCTGCCCCGGCCCCGACCTGCCCCGTCCCGGACCTTCCCCGGACCCTGTCCCGGCCCTGCCCCGGCCCCGTCGCGGCCCAGTCCCGGACCTACCCCGACCCCGTCGCGGACCCTGTCCCGGACCTGCTTCGGCCCCGACCTACTCCCGGCCCCGGCCTCGACCCTGCCCTGGCCCCGCTGCGGCCCCGTCCCGGACCTGCCCCGGCCCCGACCCAGTCCCGGACCTGTCGCAGCCCTGCCCCGGCCCTCCCTCGGCCCTGCCCCGGCCTCGCCTCTGGTAAGAGCATAGCAGGGCCGAGCCGCGCTGCCGAGTCGCACTGCCCTGCCGAGCCGCCCTACCGAGTCACACTGCCCTGCCTAGCTGAGTTGCACTGTTACTGCTGCTAGTGTGCTACTGCTCCTGTCATGGCTAGTCCCAGTGTCCTTACCTTTGATGCTGAGGGTCGGGCGGTTGAATTTGATGTCTGGCTAGATGATCTGCAGCTTTTCCTACAGTGCGATAGCAAGGATGGTCTCTCACTGTTTGATCTCACGTCTGGCGCCTCTACTGCCCCTGCTGCTGATGCTGACAGTGCTGTTCGCTCGCAGTGGCTCACACGCGATGCTGCTGCCCGCCTTGCTGTGCGTAGTCACCTACCGTCTACTGAGCACGCGCACTTTAGCCAGTACAAGAGTGCTAAGACTCTGTACGACGCTGTTCTTGCACGCTACTCTTCCCCTGCCACTGCTGCGCTTAGTCGCCTCATGCTACCGTACCTGTTTCCTGACCTCGCCGCTTTTGCCACAGTCACTGTCCTCATTACGCACCTCCGCACTAGTGACACCCGCTACCGCGCTGCGCTTCCTGCTGAGTTCTGCGCTAAGAACCCCCCTCCCATGTACATCACCCTCTACTACCTAGTCACCCGACTCCCTGACACCCTTCGCTCGGTCAGGGACCACTTCCTCTCTCTTTGCCCTACCACACTCACCGTTGACCTCCTCGAGGAGCGCCTCCTTGTAGCAGAGAATAGTATTACCGCTGTGGGAGCCTCTCGTGGTGACCCCCGTACCCCTTTCTTTGAGGGGTGCTCCCCCGTTCCTGTTTTGCCCTCTGTTGCCTCTGCTGCTGCTGTCGACCTTGAGGCACCGAGTCGGTCAGCGCTGCGTCTGCTCCTAGCGAGAGGCGCCGCAACGGCAGGGGCAAGCGGGGCAAGGGCGCTGGAGGAGGTGGAGGGGGAGGAGGTAGTGGGGGTGGAGGCGGAGGAGGGGGTGGGGGTGGGAGTGGAGGCAGAGGTGGGGGCTTCGGTGGCAGCGGTGGAGGTGGAGGCAGCGGTGGCGGTGGAGGTTGGGGTGGAGGTGGCGGAGGCGGCGGCGGCGGAGGTGGAGCTGGTCGAGGCGGAGCTGGGCAGCGGGGACCCCAGCACCAGTCTCGCTCTCGTGAGACCCCGTCGCCACAGCAGCTTCGTGAGTGGTACGCAGGGCGTCAGGGGTCTGGGGGTGCTGGTCCCTGTACCTACGTCCTGCGCACCGGCGACCGCACTGGAGAGCAGTGTGGCGGCCTACACGCCACCCAGCGCTGCTTCGGTCGCCTGACTGACGCCTGGCGTACCCAGTTCCCTGACGCCACTGAGATCCCTCGCTGGGGTGATCTGCTCAAGTCGGGTGTAGCTATCTTTGATCTTGACTTTGATGCTATTCTTGCTGCCATGTATGCTGTGTCTATTAGTGCTGAGGGTGACTGTTACGTGTGTGTTCCGCCTGACCCGGGCATTGAGTGTTAAGAATGAGGAATGAATGAATTAGGAAACAGGTGGGTACAAGTAGGAAAACCTAGAAGTGTTGTACCCCATATTGTCTACCCCACTACAGCCTACAAAGACTATAGCATATAAGTTTGACACACCCCCATAGGCAAAGTGGGGGAGAACAAGAGGTCACAAGACCAGTCAAGCAAAGCAAAGCAAGCTCAGGGTGGATCACAATGTCACCACACAATCCGAGCACAAGAGCAAGGCCAAAAGGCCAGTTCACATGCAAGATCATATATAAAGGTAAACAGGCAAGTGCAGGTATAGAAAGATCACAGTACAAGCAAGGTCAAGAAGTGAGCAAGTGAGGCCAAGTAGGCACAAGACCTAGCATCGTACAGAAGCGCTGATGATCACCAGGCGGAAGTGCCTTGGTAAAGATATCAGCAGTGTTGGCCTCAGAGGCCACGTAAGCAAGGCGAAGCTGACCACGCTGCTGCAGCTCACGAGCAAGGAAGTAGCGAAGAGCAATGTGCTTCGTTCTGTGCTCCAGTCTGTGCTCCCGACACAAGGCCAGCATGGCCTTGTTGTCTACGTACAGAACTGGAGGAGAACGAGGCGGCTCTCCTAGGTCAGTCAGCAGGTAGGTGAGCCAGCGTAGCTCCTGTGCAGCCATGGCCCCCGCGTAGATCTCAGCCTCACAGCTGGAGCCGAGGACATAGGACGAGCGGGTAGACCGCCACGAAACAGAACCGGAGCCAAGGCTGAAGGTGTAACCCTGTGACGACCGCTGCGTAGCCTGGTCGTCAGCCCAAGAAGCGTCTGTGTGACCTGTGAGGACCACTCGACGTCGCCCTCCAAGCACTAGCCCCATGCCCGACGTACTGCACAAGTAGCGCAACACCCTCTTCGCTGCAGCCATGTGCTCTGGTCGGTGTCTCTCAGGAGCAACATAGCGTGCCAAGATGCTAAGAGGGTATGCAAGGTCAGGTCGTGTGCAGGTCATCAGGTACATGAGGCAGCCAACAAGCTCTGGGTACGGGCCACTCGGCTCTACGGACTCATCCGAAGGCAGAGCTGAGAGCGAGTGGCGAGTAGACAGAGGAGTGGCCTGAGGCGAGGAGTACGTGAAGTCGAAGCGCTGAAGGACCTGCTGCACCATGTGTGACTGAGTCAGGGTAATGGTGCGCTGTGCTCTGTCCCGGGTGATCTGCAAGCCAAGGTAGCTGCGCAGTTCACCCAGGTCTGTGCACGTGTGTCTCTTCTGCAGCTCGGACTTCACGTGGGCGAGTCCAGCAGTGTCAGCTGTGGCAAAGACCAAGTCGTCAACGTACACGAGGATGTAGAACGGCGGCAGAGAGGTGTCGGTGCGCAGAAACAGCGACGGGTCGGCTGTAGAAGGAGCAAACCCAAGAGCCGCAAGAGTAGTCCTCAGTGTGTCGTGCCACTCACGGGGCGCCTGGCGGAGACCGTAGACTGGCCGCCGGAGGCTCCACTGGGTACCAGGAGGAAACGACCCAGTGAAGCCAGGTGGGCGGCGCAGCCAGATCTCCTCGTGAAGGCTGCCCTGCAGAAAAGCAGTGCTGAAGTCAAGAGAGTGAAGCTCGTAGTCGCGCTGAGCGGCTATGTGTAGCAGCACCCGAAGAGTGGTCATCTTCGGGGTGGGAGAGAAGGCCTGAAAGTAGTCAAATCCCTGCCTCTGACTGAAGCCTCGAGCCACGTAACGCGCCTTGAAGACAGGCGGAGAACCCGGCGGCCGCTTCACCCTGAAAATCCACATGCCACTGACGATGTTCGCCCCAGGTGGGGGAACCTCGTCGACGTAGGTGCCTGTGGACTTCCAGGAAGCCATCTCTGCGTCCATGGCTGTCTGCCACTGAGAGGAGTAGGGACCCTCGATCGCCTCAGCGTACGATCGAGGAGTCGGGATGTCTGGTGCATCCGGGTCTCCCTCAGGGGCAAGCAGCGTGGACACGAGATGAGGTAAAGCAGCAGCAAAACACTGGAACTCCTCCTGTCGGTCCTCAAGGACGTCCGTGCTAAGAGCACACTCACCCCCGACGGACGGAGGACAGACAGACGCAGACTCAGCAACAAGACAGGCAGCGTAGTGTAGACGACAGCGAGCAGCAAAGT